CAGGGTCCAAGCATGTCCGATCGAGTTTTGGCCTCAGCATTGCTTGTACCGCGGACGTGGTAAATTCTCTAACATGACGTAGGTACTTCCGCCCACGAGTTCCACGTAAGCTTGATCGCGACGCGGAATTCTGAAGGATAATGCGATTTTGAGGGAAATCGAGTTAATCATTAAGTTGGAAGAAACTTTGTGTTAGCGGTTCCGGTGGATGGGAAACGATATTTCAGTCTATTAGAAATTTAATTTTGTTATTTCATCCTATCATTCTGTAACGTTCAGAGGAAGCAAGAAAATCATAGTATTAAATGACATTAGGGAATGTTTTACTATCCAGAGAAAAGGTTTATTTACCTGTTTAACATAAAATTTAATTCTCCGTAAGATTTAATCAAGATATTAAAAACCAAAAAATTATTAGAATTAACTACCATCGTCCACGGACCGACTGTGCTATTATAAAACATGGCCACTCTATAAATGATTAATTTTTTTTATACACGTCCACGTATTCATCTGAAATCTGCATACTCAAAAAAAATTACAAATTTATGAAATGACCTGATATTTCTTTTGTCCAACATGAACGAATTCATCGTTTTATAATTTAATTATTAATGCGTGAAATGCAATCGTCCCTGTTTCCTGTCACGAGATATTTAAAGAATGATGATTTATAGATTGCGTGCGAACTGGGCATACAATTTTAATATTTTATTGTGTAACATGGTTTATTTTAAAACATGAAAGCGTCGGTGGATAAGTCATCGATTACAAATCGTAGCTCTTCCCGGGCAGCTTGTCAATCTGCACCGTTATATACTTTGTCTTCTTATATAATTTCCATTTGAAATTGAATATATTTACGCGTTGTTTCCGTAGTTAATATATTACTCAACCACCAATGGTAATCTAAACTTTTAAACCATAAATAAATAGCACTGGCAGATACGTTCACTCTATCAATAGAAGTTTTCTCTGGACTTTATATAAATCTGCAGGAAAGAATTTGTAATGTATTATTTAATAGAAATATTAAATGATAGTGATATAAAATGGTGCAAATTTTTCAAGATTCTAACGTTACAATATTTTATTTTTCAACGGAGAGATTTAAACATTTTTGTAGATAAAATGAGCTTTGGTAGGATTAATGCGTTAGTATTAAGAGAATTACATTTTATTGCAGTATGGACATTGTCACTTAACATGATTGTCTCTCGGAAATTCATTAATCGACAAATTCGAATATGCTTTTGTGTTAAATGAATGACTGTGTTTATGAATATGTAGAATGTTTCAGTTAATTTGTTCTTGATTGCATAATTTACCAAATTTCAGGACCACCAACATTTTTTAAATAGAATAAATTTAACTATCTACTAAATCATATTTATAAAAGAGAAACAGTATAATTTATATATTTCGAAAATTATTAAGCGCCACCCCTCATTAATAAATTGATTACTGATTAAATGTGTTAAATGTAGATGACAATTACTAACAGTTTGCGTTTCCAAAAACGTTCTCTAAGTTGCATCCTGAAAACTTTTGCTGTTCCCACGTGTGACTGTCGTTAGAATGCTAATGATTGCACATGAATATCAATGAAGTAAATCGTACCACCGCAAAGTAAGAAACTGAGTTTTGAATACAGAATTCAAATGAGCAACTCCACATCGAGCATGGAGGCAATACTATCTATAATACTTTAACGATCAGCGTTGCAATGAATGTAAATATATATTTATGGACCACCAGAACACGCTTTTACGAACGACTGAACGGTTTGTCTAGTATACGTTTTTTTTTTATTAATACCAGTATATTACAGAACATTACAGAATTATGTTATAATACTGGAAACGATCAGAGACTGATCGAACGTTGAGGAAGTAAATAAAAAGAAAAAGGTTATACGCTGAGTCTAATATTAGTAGCAAAAAATTACAAATATTATTAGTTAATAACATACTATAAATATTTTGTTACAGATTTATAAAAAGACCAGAGGTAAAAATAACTGGAAAGATAACTATCATTTTAGTGGTGAGATTTCTGAAGGCAACAATTATTTCTCGTACGTAAATAGTATTATTTATTTTATTGTCACATTTCAATTTAATTCAAGTTCCCGATGAGTTTGTTATGAATTCTGCGACGTAGTTTGCAAACTGCTTGTTTCGTCGAGTATGGTCGAGTTAATCGCTGAACCAATATCATCGCTCTATGGTATACACAACAGTCTGAACCAAACTCCCGAGAACTAAGTTCCGAATCTATACGAATTCGGCGAAATTGGTCATATCTTAGATACATGCTCTGGCGAGGCTGGAAATTGACTAAATTTGCGCGCATACTAGAGTTTGAGCACGGCTTGAATTAGACTGTTTCGTTTTAATGGTCCGGTTAAATCACAATTTAGGTTCGATACGAGCACAATTTGATCACGGAGAATTTTCATTGTCCTGAAAACAGAGAACGAGGATACGAAAATTTCTTTAAAGTTGTGCTTTCTTTAGACACGGTAAATCTGACACTCAAGAAAATATCTTTTTATTAATATACAAATTAATTTAGGTATCATGCGATTATTAAAATATGAAATTAAGACCTGAATAAAGCAAACTGTAATTCTTTTGCATTCTTCCTCATATTGAATTCTACAATAATTTACTTGATTTTACTTTTAAGTGCTCGCAACTAAAAGAACAAATTTTTTCCAGTGAAAAAGTGATAATGACTTTCTCTTCTTTTATTCACAATGTTACCGTACACTGCTTCTGGTAGAGGTTCTAAATAGTAGCGAAAGGTAGGTGTATTTCTCGTAGAAAATCATATAATATTAAACCTGCGTATCTCTTATTCCCCGAGACTGCACGACAGCATTATAAGAATAAAACCAATAGGTTTCGAATAATACAGAGTTCCTTCCGAGAAGGAAATCCTCTTTGAACCTTGTCAACGGTGAATCCTTATTACGAATCGAAGGAACGTTTTGTTGCACTGGATTTACACGTGTGCGCAAGCAGGTAACTCCGCTACAAATTGGGTACCCGATTCTCTCTGCTTCCAAAGCTGCTCTTTCCCGGAAAACTCGAGAGCCGTCCGAAGTCAGCGCACTCGCAGTAACGCACCTCCGTCTAGGGACGAATCGCATTTGGAATTCAATTCCGCAGAATGGTCGTTACTCGAGAAATTTCCAAGTGTTCCGTACAAAAATACGACCAAGCGCGAAACACAGGAATGTAACGACTTCAAAGATGAAGAATGGGCCAAACCGCGTTCGTACGGAGCGATCCTCGCCTTAAATCAATCGCTTTTGCACCGGATTTAAACCAAGAAATCGTCCTCCCTACCCTTTATGTTTATCAAATTATCAAATCGCGACAGTGTAATTAAAGTAGTCATAGACGTTATGGGAACGTGAGAAAGTATTCTACGAAAGAAGTCGAAGGTTGGAAAAATTGAAAAGAGTCTGTCAATTTATGGGGACGAAGAAGCCTAAACGGATCGTGAAAATGTCGAATATGACGTAAACGAGACGCAACACATGTAACGCGTCTAAAATCGCGAGTTCTACATCCCGTAGTTTCCAGCGAACTTTGTTAGAAGAAAATTTGCCGCGGGAAAAATTGGAATTTACACTTTAACCTGTCGAAGTTTCGTTTCAGTTACTCGGGAGTAAAAGCAGGATCGCGACTCGCCGACGAAGAAACTTCTTCTTCGTGATCCGAGGATGTCGATATCGGAACGAGTCGCATCCTTCTTGTTCCTTTTCCCGTTAACTACGTGCAATTTCAATAAATAACAATCCGCCGTGAACATCGAGGATAAAATGTTAAACGTTCGATGTCAATACGCGGGACCGTGTGTATATTTCAGGCATGCAATTTAAAGCGTTGTTCTTTTCACTCTGCGAACTAAAATGACGCGAAGGAAGGAATTATACCGTTCTCGTTTTAAGCCTCTCCCGGCCATGATACTCGATAAACTGCGAAATGTCCTCCCCGAGCACTGTATTAGGTACCAAAGCGGATTCAGCGAGCTTCAAACAAAATCTTGCATCTGTTTTAATAAGTGAAACTTTCCGTGTACAATAACAGGGAGCGCAGCGTCACGACGCTAATACCCTTAATAGGGAAGCAGTGTAATAGCTTGTTTTTGTTCAGGAACATCTTCGGTGCAAACGTCGACGCGCCTATTTTCTGGCTACGTTAACTTCAATGTCGAGGATAATTATATTTTATATAGAAATCACGAGCAAACGCTATTTATAATTATTTGGTAAATTTCAACTTGTGATTTAAGTTAATAGTCTCGATCACTGACTTCGTACTCGAGATATAACACGTTGAATTTTATGAAATTTCTTAGAGAAGTATTTGACACGTATTTTTATTCTTATATTTGAGGTTGAAAATGCTCATTTTTTAGCCCTTTAATAGATTTTGGATTTGGAAATTGTTCTTGCATACGACGACTATGAGTAGCTATATCGTTTAACATACGCAAAGCTGTTACGTCTGGATCACTACCAAATCACATTTTTCCTGTATGATTTATTCGAAATTTCAGTCCAACTTTCGCTTGTACGAATATATACATAATGCAAGTTTCAGTTCGACCATCTTTGCGACATTTTGCTGCGAGAGAGCTACAAGTTGATTTCTAACCTGAATACGAGCGCAATATAGGTATTTCGTAGCAGGTTCGTTAGAGAAATGTTTTCAGAATAACGAGATTTTCACGTTGATTAAATTAATCACAATAACTGTTCCCGTTCGTTATAAAAAGTCCTCGCGTAGACATATTAATGAAATTACAATATTTTCCATTTAAAAGTATCACCTTTCATCCAAACCACAATATATTTAAATTTCAATTATTAAATGTCAATCATATCGATATCATATAAATATTCTCGATGCACCGTGGAGTAAAGAATTTGTAAAAATAATGGTTCATGCATTTTAAGACATATTTTAGAAAGGGTTACTCACTTGGGTCGCGTACGACGGATATTGAAGTGATGAAATGATAGCTCGACGATTTCATCAGGTTGACCGATGAACGTGTAAAGCAGGCAATCGATATTCGATGGATATTGCTTGGGATAATAAGGGGATGTAAATGTGCCACCTTGAGGTTTGTCCGAGCTGCTGTAGACAACGCAGGAGCAACCTATAACAGACATTGCATCGTTGCATCATACTATCGTGATATCATAGCCTCAAATATACACAAAGCAATAGCGAAATAGGCACAACGCTCGCACGTGAACCGATATCAGATTCATATTAATATTGTAGGGATATGGATTTCAGAATATCGGTTAAGAAAATTATCCCTCGTAATTCCGACACACACAGGTTTATTTTATTCACGAGTTGTCTCTTTACGTCTCGCTCGTATCATACGCACTGCCGTTCTCTTCGTTTTCTCGCTTATATTCACATTCTCGCACACATTCGGCACACATGTCACACTTATTTCGGCGTTTATTGCCCTTTACATTCTCTCTCTCTCTCACGCACACACTCTCTCTCTTTCGCTCTCGTTCTCGCGGTCGCTCGCCTTTCGGCAGTGTTTATCACCTGTGCCGTCGACACCGGTGCGTGACTTTCGCACGCGTCTTAACGGCTGGTCGATATGTCGATGTTTTTAAACGTATTTTCGCGATTTTCTACCGCCTACAATATTAAATACATAACTTAGAGAAAGACATGTCAAAGTTATTCGATCAAATATTACATTAAGCTGTCCGCAAATGAATTGCAAATTTTATAACTTTGACGAGATTAGTAAATGATATATATTATTATTATATAATTGCAATGGTATAATAAATTCATTTATTCGTAAATCCTTCCCTGTTAAAATTTCTGTGATTATTGCTTTTTTAGAATTGTGGCGTCGCCTCCCATGCTCGCCACCAGAGGGGTCACGCTCTCACAAGCGCTCGACCGACTCGACTCGCCCTCTGCTTTCCTTTCTGCCCTCCTACGAATTTCTCGAATTCCTAACCGCAGCAAAGCAACGCCACAGAACCACAATCAGTTTTTAATTACTTCGATAATAATTGGTTACACAAGAATTTCTTTCTTTCTTCAAGCGTCCCGAATGTGACGAAGCAAACTTTGACGGAACTGAAATATTTGAACTTGAGTTTTCATTTGTGCTTCGATTGTAATTTTCGAGCGATCTAATAGACCGCAATAAAATGGAAATTGCGTGAATTTTCAATATTGCGGCGCACTGAATACCGCGGGTATAGTAATTTTAATGCCAGGACATGAAAATTTCATGGTAATGAAATCCGTCATCCGACAATATCCCGAAGTAATGTCCCCCAGCCCATGGCCCGACGAAACTTTTCTTATTTCCAAAATGAACTCGTCACTTTTCGCATCGATCTCATCCACGCCTGGCCACGCTTCTTTCTATAATATCGACCCTACGTCAATCCCGAAGAATCAAATTAAAGTTCGGCGTTGCCGTGAAGGAAAGGCGCCACAGGGGACTCGTAACTTTCATGGAAAACTTTCGACGGCGAGCAACAAAATCATCGATTACTTGGACAGATGGTTCGCTGGGTTAATGATCGATCGCGAACAATCGACAGAACCCTCGTTCTCGAGACCGCTCTTTCGTGCTTCGCCCTTTCAATCCTTTAATCAATTTTAATCTTAGCGGTACGCGTCGAATTCTTTTGTACTCGAATTTGCTATTGAGTTCATAAAAGTAAAACCGAGTCTTCGAACTTAAAAATACTTAAATTTAATTTAATTTAAGTTTATTTAAAGTCTATAGAAAACAAACGAAGTCGGTCGTGTATTCCTAACCCCAGATTAAGATAGATTAAAGGCTCGAAATTCAAACATACAAGCTGTTCGGCCACCCCTAGGAAAAATTTTATTGGGGGATTCTAGAGGCCAAAATAAGACGAAAATCAAGAATACCAATTTGTTGATGAAAAAGTTATTAACAATTAAATTCAAAAATTTCAAATCGTTTTGGAAAAATTATTTTCGGTTGCGGGGATTAATTACAATTATTTTTGACAAAACTTTTTAACAAAGCCTCCATCAACAAATTGGTGTTCTAGATTTTCGTTTTATTTTGGCCTCTAGAATCCCCCATTAAAATTTTTCCCAGGGGTGGCCGAACACCCTGTATATTTCTTTTTAATTTGAAATTAAATTCAATTTAAAAATAATATGAGTTTACACGAATTTCAATAGCAAAAAATGAACTCTCGTTCCTTGTCCCCGGTGATCTTAAAAGTTTTGATTACTAACCGCGAAAAATTTTATACGGTTGTAAACTAACGGCAGAAAAGTTCTGGGATAATGTCGGCAGCTTTTTCTATAATTTAATATAATTTTTTGTTTTTCAATTTACCGTCCCGTCGGGTAGACTAACTTCAACTCCTCTCGCCAGCGTTCCTGCAACAGCTCACTGGAGAATACGAGGAGGACCCCATGGTTAAATAACGGGGTTGACACTTGAGTTATACCGCCGGCACAAAAGGTCGAACGGTCCCTTCCAGTTTTATGCATCGGGGACTCCATTGTAGCTAGCAATACGAGATAACGCGGAACAAAACTCACGCATCCTTTCGTTTTTTCCAACGACGGAATTCGCGAGCATTAAAACGAATAAAATGCTGGCTGGATTAGCAGCTTTGTCGGCACAGAATAGTCACAGCCATAATGAAAGAGAACTAAGAAGATTGTGTTGGTAAAATTTAAAGAAAATTTGGCAATATTTCCTGCGCTCGCAACGCGTAAACTCATCTCCAGGTATCTTGCAAACTTTATTTACGTAGAGTTTCTCAAACGTGAATTTTGGTGCTTGAGATTATTCGAGCATTAACATATCTTCCAACGTTTCTAAGATAGTCAAGTTATATGGGACAGCTTCTATAGTAACGGTATTAAATTATGGAACGTCTGACGATGGGAACATAAAAGAATGCTCATTAACTGGTATGAGAAAATATGATGTATCCGTGAAGAAAGTTCAGCTGGCTAGAAAATTCCTGTTATAAAGGTTGAAAGTGTTATAGTTGAGCCATCAAACCTTAGCGGACAATTTGCGAACTTCATTCCCTCCAGTGATATGGGACAGAAGGTACATACTGACGCGTATGAACTATAACGCGAATCTCTCGACACGTGATATATCGCTTTATTTAAAAAAAAAAGAACAGCGGTATTATGAAACTCGAGATGGAAGGTGACTTGTGTTGCGATCCTTGCAAAATTGTCAGTGTCGTACGCGTTTAGCAAGATATTACGAACTTGCTCTTCGCGATAGAACAGGCGAACACCGTCGTTTCTGCATTCGTTGAAAAGACCAGCGCTCCTATAAACATTTCAACCTTGAACAGAATATTTAACTTTTATTGTTCATCTTTGATCGATTTAAGGACAAGAGAAAAATGCAAAACAATTATGACTTACAGTAAGGAGCATAAGTGAACTAATGACAAGTTTTGCATAAATCATTATTTATTACTAGGAATATAAAAGAATAACAAAAAATAAACATTATAATTATTTTTATCACAGTTAGAAGTAACATAAGAAAGTCTTTCAGTAATTAACATCTTGTTGTTTATGAATAATACGAACAATAGATTGACTCAGTTTTGCACCACGTCCAATATTTGACAATATTTAATATATTATTTATTTTTAATATTTCGTTCACAACCCTTTTGCTTAAAAAACTGCACTAATTCTCTTTGGCACGCTTTCTATTAACCTTTTACAATAATCTGGAGATATTTGTTCCTACTGTTCTTGAATTCTGTTATGCAAATTCGTGATTGAAGTTGGTTGGGAGTCATATAAATCCCGAAGTCGTCTTTTCAGTTACCCCCATAGATTCTCTATACTATATATACTATATATGTATATATACTCTATATTATATATATACTAAAAATTTTGTAGTATCGAGCCAATTTTTCACACTTTTAACAGTGTGCTTAGGGTCTCGATCATGCATGAAAATTACATTTTCTTCTTCGAATGGCATATTTTCAACAGTATCTATGAGATGATCTTGTAAAATATTTTTGTACATATTCTGATTCATGATGCTATTAATTTGGTGCAGTGATCCAACACCAAATGCTGTTAGGCACCCCCAAAACATTAGGGATCCGCCACCATGCTTTACCGTTTGCTTTACATGTCGTGGTTTAAGCCTTTCATTTTTAAGAATCCAGCACCAAGACATGCCATCTGAACAAATTCTGTTAATTTCGGTCTCGTCTGACCAAATAACCCGTTCCCATTCAGTAGTTGTCGAGTTTTGATACTTCTTGGCAAATTCCAAACGAAGTTTAATATTTTTCTTTGATAACATTGGCTTCTTTTTCTTCTTAATGCCTCTAAAGTCAGCTTGTTTGAGGGTCCTTCGTGCTGTCCACTTACTTATTTGTATATTCGTGTCTTCTTTTAATCATTGTGCAGCCATGGTGGCACTTGAAGCTTCACCAGATGTGACAAACCGTATAATTCTTCGTTCATCCTGCGCCGATAACTTTTTTGGTCTTCCTCCAACATTAAGTAATATACCTTTACAGTAGTTTTTTCTTATTCTCTGCACTGTCGATTGACTGACACTATAATTTTTCGCCGTCTGACGGGTTGACAAACCGCCATTCAAAAAAGAAATGACTTTTTTTAAAGAATTTGAAGCAATTGACTTCATACTTATTGTCGCGTCGCGAGCCCTCCGTATGACCGTCAAATTGCGGACGGGCCCAACTCAGAAAGAGCCTTGTAAATGCCGTCATATAGCAGGGTTTGTTCTTTCCATACCTGCGCACCAGATGTCTGGCAGTTGTGCGTCGGGCCCGTTACAAACGTTTTTTCCCGCAATTAGGAGTCTGGTTTTATTACACGCCACGGTCAACCTTCAAGGATACAATAGCACTTTCGCGCGACCACCGACACAGCCAAAAACAGAAAGTTTTGGTGACACCCACACCACCCCTTCTTGCAGGGGCTGGCCGTTCACGCCTTACAAAATCTTGGAACCTATCAGTGTTTTTCGCATATTAGTAACCGCCCAAATAGACTGTATAAAGAGCGACGCTCGCTCAAGAATAAAGCATGCAACAAGAATTTTTCGGAGCATAAACAAACCGACAAGTATACATTTTT